GTGAGTATATGCATTTTTCAGGTACTTGTCTTCATGACATAGCAAGTTCTTAGGAGACAGCACGCTGAAAGATGTTTTCTTCCTTTTTTTTAACCATCTAGATTCCAGTTAAATACCTTAGGACAGCAAAACTCTTATACATTGTAAACATAAAACTTCATTTTTAACCTTGCTATTGTGAGCAACTGGAATGATGTAATTTAAATGCAATATTTGAATAAATATACAATATTTGAAGAAATAGTTTTTTCAATACTTAAATGATGTTTTGCAATTCACTAGACTTTTAAAATTGTTGTCTTGGTGTAACTCTCTCCCATTCAGGTCAAAGGCAACATTTCCTGAGTTAAACTAATGGTACACTATTTTCATAGCATCACAGAATGCTTTGGGTTGGAAGGGAACTTTAGAGGTCATCTAGCCCAACCCCCCTGCAGTGAGCAGGGACATCTTCAACTAGATCAGGTTGCTCAGAGCCCCGTCCAACCTGGCCTTGAATGTTTCCAGGGATAAGGCATCTCCCACCTCTCTGGTCAACCCGTTCCAGTGTTTCACAGCCTTCATTGTAAAAAATTTCTTTCATGTATCTGCTCTAAATCTGTCAATTTTTAGTTTAAAACCATTACCCTTTGTCCTATCGCAACAAGCCCTGCTAAAAATTTGTCCCCATCCTTCCTATAGGCCCCCTGTAAGTACTGAAAGGCTGCCACAAGGTCTTCCCACAGCCTTCTCTTCTCCAGGCTGACAGCCCCAACTCTCTCAGCCTTTCCTCACAGGAGAGGTGCTCCAGCCCGTGGGTGTTCTTTGCGGCCCTCCTGTGGACCCACTTCAACAGCTCCATGTTTTTACTGTGCTGAGGGCTCCACAGCTGGATGCAGGACACCAGGTGGTGTCTCATCAGAGCAGAGGGGCAGAATCACCTCCCTTTACCTGCTGGCTATTTCATTTTGAAAATACCTTGATGCAAATAACATGCATCATATGCTAATCTCATAGTGTCTGTATTTGTAGTTTAAAATTAAACAAAAAAAGACTTCTCTAACAGGGCCCTTAACTGCACATTTTAAAAAAATGAAATAAAAAAATATAAACCAAAATATTTTAAAGCAATAGTAATCCTTATTTCTTGAATAAAGCAGTATTTTGGCTTTGTTTCTAATTTTATGCAGTGGATTATTCACAGATCAATAGTAATATCTGATATATGAGTATACCTATGTGTGTGTATGGGCATATGTACACACATACACACGAATTTTGAAGGATGACAAGTGCTGGAGTGCTTTGTATTAGAATCCTTCTGGCTTTTGATGCGATTGTTTAGTACTGAATAACAGCTCTGCAGCAATCTGGATGAGAAAATAAAGCCTACAGCTTCCAGATTTAACCACAGGAGATGATTCAGTTTAGCAAGACCAGCGTGATTAACACCCGCCATCTTCTGAAGGGTGCAACCGGCCTGCGATGACCGGTTCAGCGCTGCATTTCGCATCTCTGCCCGCCCCAGCAGTCGGGCAGCCGTTACGGTGGTGCCGGGGCAGCCACTATGGGGGCTCCGAGGGACCGGTGACATCTGCCACGTGCGCTGCCGGGATGCTCTTGCGCTGCTGCCCTCCTGCTACACACCTCACCTGCGCTTTGGAGGCCGGGTGGCAGTGTCTGCAAGGCGTACTTTATTAGATAAAGTCGAGCCAAAACCAGCTGCCAGCTGCTGCTTGGCCTGTATCCCTCCTTATCCTGGATGGAGGATTTCAGTGTCCTTTTAACAGGCACACATGTCACTAATCCAGAAAACGTGGATGTGTTTACCTGCTGGGTGGGAATAGTTTTCTCATGGGTGTTCTAGGTATTTCCTTGAAACTCTGCTTATTGGTGAGCTGTGCTGTACGCTTTCCTTTCAGACATCTAGGCTAAGCTAAATGCCAGTGAAATAGCTCCTACTGGTCTAAGGGAGCTTTAGGTCAGGCCTTTGCTGTGTTGCACTGAAATTATTAGAAATATATTGTCCCAATTTTAAATTTTGAGATGTATGCTTTTTTTTTGTATTCTCTGGAGACTTAGATTTAAGAAAATAGATGTCATTGCTGCTAGTTCTGACTCACGTTTTCTGGATTTTAATTTTTACTACACAGGGAATGATACCTGTCAGAGAACCTTCAACTGCTGTCGATGTGAGGCCTGATTCTGCTGTTTCTTGAGAGAATTTTCAGCTTGATGCTTGGCTTGGTTAGATGAACTAAAAATGGGGGAGATTTTTAGGATGGAGAAATGTTTTACTACAGTACTGTGCAGAGCACTGCAAAATGTATGTTCTTCATTAGACTTGTCTTAATGCACATTCATAGCGAAGCATGTCAAAGATGAGAAAAAGCTCACATCTTGTTGCAGATAAAAGATGCAACTCAGAGTGACACATGTAAACGGGATGAGAAAGTTTAACAGAACCAGGCAAGCTGAAGTTTATGCGGACAGAGAGTACTGAAAAACTGCCATGTCTGTAAAAAGACAAATTTACGTACACAGTAGCCCTTCTTCAGACCTAGCATGTATATAACATACTGGATCTGGAACGCATTTCCCGCTCCGTATAAAAAAACTCAGGAGAGACTTCATGGGGAAAGAAGGTATTTCTTTACCTGCGATTATTGCCTTTTAGAGGATAAAGCTCACCAGAAAGTGTGGGGAGATCTGAGTATCTCATCTGATTTACAGTTTGAGTCAAGGACTCAAAGGTGAGACCCAAGCTTCCAGCTTTTCCAGCTTCCCACTTTAGGGGAATCATGTAACAGAATAGCTAAGAGGATAAATGCACAAACCTCAATGGTTTGTTGCTGAAAGTTTAATAAGTACCTTTTGAGAAGGACAGTCTTAAACTCGCTAGTGCAAAGTTATTGACAACATTTCTGTCTGCTAGCACTTTTTCTCCAACCTACAGAACGGTACACCTCCACTAAAGATAGGCAGGTGGCTTCTGCAGCAGCCCATGATACTAGGAGAAGCACAGCGCTCTGAGGACTCCTCATACAGCAGGAGCAGGCAGATTGTTTTGTTTATGTGTAGATAAAAGCGTATACTCTAATCAAAGCCTATAAAGCTTATGATGGATGCCCTACGGCTTGCTACGTCATCTGTTTTCCTCGGAGTATTCTGCGAGCAGTCGGATTGCAGGATACTGCTCAGCCCTGGTTTATTTTGTCCATCTTTCCTTTGAAGTGTTGGAGTTGAGATGCCCATCGTTTCTGCCTGCCCTGGTGACAGGCAATGCTGGGGCTCAACTGAAAGTAGCCTGGGCTACCTTGAGTGATTACTGAGACAGAGCGACAACCAGACAAGGCATCAAGTGCCGGCGTCTACTTACATTGCAGGTAAAGACATCCTGGTACAAATGCCTTGAACAAACCCTCTGAAGCGTACAGCATCTTAGTATTTCCTTCCAGGACTACCAGCTGTTTTGCTCTGGAGCCTGCAAGGACGGGGTTCCAGTCAGCATGAACTTGGTCCTAGCTGTCTTCTCAAGACTGTGGATATGCTGGTTTAGGTACGCTCTATGTGGCTGTGCAGCAGTGAAGCGGGAATTCAGAGAAGGCAAGGATGTGGAAATCCTGAAAGCCTTGGGGATTCCTGACAAAGTCGCAGTGTCGTCGAAGTGCTGCCCATTGTGTCTTTACACTATTTATGTCTCTGTAATTTGGGGCTAAATCCATCAGACAGGAGAGTTGTAAAATTGGCATGACAGTGGAATTGGGCTCAGATGTGTGGTAACTATCCCACAGAAGGAACAACACTCTGGAATTAGTTAAATTTACTGACTTCAGTGACATTTTATAATGTAACTTTCTAATTACTCTGTATACAGCACATCATTGTGAATTTTGAAGAGCTAGAAATTGAGTCTAAGACACCAAAATATACACAGAGAAAAGGTGTGAGTGGTATTTTTCTTTCCTGAAATATGTAACCTCTGTGACTAGTGGTTTTATTATATTTTTCAGGCTTTGTTGCTAGTAAGAAAAGTGCTTAACTTGTAAAACACTAATTTTTTAGTACATTAATGATACATGTGGACAGCTGAGATACAGCCTATATGTATTCATGCTTGTTTTTGAATAGCATAAATGTATATGTATCCAATCTAATACTATGTATAAAAGAAATGAATAATATAAATGCTAAATTGCCTGTCAGGGGCCTTTCTTTTTGGTACAATAAGTACTTTCCACTATTACCAGAAGGAGTAGGTGTTATTAACTCCCAACAATGCCAGTATTTTCCAGATGATATGTCTAACAAAGGAAGAGAAAAGGTTTCTGGATGTGAAATACACATCTATGTTTCAGCTGCAGTAAATGCTCTTGATAGTGTGTTTTTTGTTTATGCTATGCTGTGAAGCTTGACTCTGGTTTGCAGAGATTGAATCTCAACTCTCTGTATAACTATTGCAGTAGAGGTTGAAGGTGAAGAAATGATAATATGGTACTTGAAATAAAGTGGTTTTGCTAACAGACCAGTGAACATTGTACAGGAATAGTGGTTAAAAGTCTGCTGAGTTTACTCCGTAGCTTGATGAAATAGTTTCTCACTTGGGCAGGCAATGTGCCCATCTAATCTTCAGGCTGGTCAACGAGGAGAGGATTTAACTTTCTGCAGTTTAGAGCAGTGCTTTTGCTGTTGTCTCTGTGATGCAGTGACATGGTGTTAAATGGTATTAGGACCTAGATTCAATAAGGCGGAAAATAGGATGGCACATAAACAAGTGGGACAATTGCCTTGTACAGCAAGAAATAATGATAATATTTCTTGTAATCTAACCATGGCTTGACATGACCTTGCTTTGACACCATGACTCAGTGACACAATCTTATCCTCAGGAGAAGTGGATTTTTAAAGCCTATTATTAACTTCCTATGGGCCAAACAAACAACTGGAGAAGAAATGGAGCCATTTGTCGTTGTTTATTTCTTTCTCTTCCTGACACTTCTCTGCCTCCTGATTCTTCCTAGTGCCTGGAGCCCTGCAAAGAATCCTGGGACCTGAAGAAAAACCATTGCCAAAGCTTCTGTGAGGTACGTCAGCCTAAGGGCATTCTTTCTCGCTTTTTTCTAGCTGTCTGTTTCATTTAAATTATTAACTTCGAGGAGACAGCTAACCAACATGGGATTTTTACAGCATTCACCTTCATTTGAGTGGATACACATGTAACAATTTAGCCATATTGAGTTTAAAAAAAAGATTTTTTTTTTTGTAACCAAATGATTCATCTCAACTTGAGGTTTTAAGGCTTGATCCACCCACACTTGCATAGCTTCTCTCAGAAGGTGATGTTAAATCCCTCCTGTAAGTTGCTGTTTCTACCACATGCCCTTCTGTCTTTTCTCGCCATCTGTAAGAAAGAATATCTTTGTTTAAAAGATAAAGTGTCATTGTGTGAAAATCCTAGTGCAGGGTAGCTGAAAAAGATGGCTTTCCTGTATGTGAAAGTCAATCTGTTTTCTAAAAGAATGTCTCTCCAGGAGTAACTGGATTGTGGACACTTAGTTCAGAAGACTACTAACAAAATTATATTAATTATTCAGGAACAGGTCTTTGGAAAATTCTTTCTGCATCACGTTTCAGAATAAGCAAACCTAGATCAGTTAAACTAGTACAAAAACCAAGATGGTTTTATTGGATTTAGGACATGGCTCTGCTGAGTTGGCGGAAACCAGCTGTTACAGTTCTTAAGTGTTTTTTAATACAAAATGGAAGTATCATCTCAGTAGAAAGTTGCTTTATTATGACTAAATCAATATAAAGATATGCCTGTCTTTGCCTGTTAAGGTGTATGTTTATGAAGATTTTCAGCTTTTCCTATAGAAGAATGGAAGTGACCTTAATTGATATATTGGTATCACTGACGTACTGATTTAACTCCTCCCTCATCACTGTGAGCACTCTTTTTCTGGTACAAGAGCATGTCTTATATTTGAATTATTTTAAACATCACGAACATGACTAAGAAAATGAATTTCAACTAAAAAAAATTTTTAGGTCCAGCTATGTGTAGATAGGGATTACTGGATTACTGATCTATGTGGTTACATTAGAAGAAAAAGCAAAAATTTCTCAAGAATACTAATCCTTATTAGAGTTCTTTAACTTGAATTAATTGCTTCTTCCTCATATACAAAGCAATAGGTAGTGTAATAAAGCAGTTTTAGTGGGTCTAATTTACATCATTCGCATATATCACTTCTCACTCAGGCTGTATGTTTCCAGATATGGGTGAAAATATGTATAAAAGTGTTTTAAAAGGAAAACATTTGTAGAACACTATTCCATCCTGGTTAAAAACAGTGAGCATCCCTCTTTGATTAGTGTGTTGTGGTTGAAGCTAAATTTAGAACTTCAAAGGCCCATAATGAAGAGCAGCACATTTAGCAGCTAACTGAAAAATGAGCTGTGAAGTAGGGTGAGGAGGAGAAGCCTTGAGGACGTATTATGCCTCAGGGAGCTATAAAGTTTTTAATTAAGTAGCTGCAAATTTGTGATGTTTTAGGATTTGAAATTAGCTTCACACACACACAGAAGCACGGGAGCACTTTCCTTTCTTGCTCTCAGACTCATGTGTGCTCCATAGACATTGTTTGATTAAATTAAATGAGGCTGTTTTCTTCTGAGAGTGTTTTCAATCTTTTTGTGTTTTGTAAAAAGTCTGGAAGCAGAAAAATAGCTTTGTGTTTCTCAAGGTCCCTGCTTGGTACGTTATTTCTTGTCTACTGAACAAGTGTGCTAATGTTAAAAGAATTTTACATGTGGAGAAGAAAAGACGACAATTTGTCTGACTCCTTTTTTCTCCGTAAGCTAAGTTTCCTGCTGGTTTAGCTTCTTAACTGGCTAACCATGGGATCAGGAGCGTTCCAGTGCGGGAGAACAGCAGGAATGTGTGTCCAGGCATCCCTGGGGTTGATAGGAGAAAAGAGGACTGCTCATTTTGGCAGCTTTTATGCTTGTTAAGCTGTAACATCCGGATGCATCCTTAAAAGCCTGATTCAAAAATTCTGGACTGCTCTGTAGGACGCGGTGGGAGAGGTAACTTAGTGGCACATTCCTGGACCACAGTGACTGTGGAGAATAAACGGACACATAGTCTGTGAAACACCTGGGCCTCAAGAATCCTTCTCATTTTGCCAGAAATATGAGAATGGTAAAAATGAGAAAGTAAAATATTTGAATATGGAAATAAGTTGTGGAAGTTACATGAATAGTTGAATAGAGAGTGGGTTACAATTCCTGCGTAGGCTTAGGAATCTGCAAAGCAGGTCTGTCAGAGTGGAAGGTTTTTTGTTCCTCTGAGATAGAAAGAGTGGCCATAGATAACCCCTACGTGATTCGTCCATCTACAGTTCTACTGATCACTTTGAGGGAATCGCTTTAGCCATTTTTGCACCAAACTAAATAAAGCACCAGAGAAAAGAGGAGGTGAAATCCCCATGTCATACACAGTGTTCTGCCCAGGGTCCTAGATGCTGTTTTTAATATGATTTTAAGTGAACCTTGCAAACCTCTAAGTAGTACACATGCTATAAGATGTCTGTGCTTTGAAACAGCCTCTCATATGTCTAAGACTTGTCTTCTCAAAGAAGTAGCATTTACTTTGATCTTTAATTAGTATATTTAGGGCTAATTTTAATTTGTGTTTTCTGCTGATCATTTTATCAGAAATTTAGTTCCAGTTCCATGAAGAGTTATACAATTACTAGTATGCTGGCAAGAACATAAGGATGCTGCAAAATCTCCTCTTAGCCAACTCAGTTCAAACAGTGTAATGAAACAAGATTTCACTTATTTGTATAGAGAGGCATTACATAAGATATTGTGGGTAAAGTGTTATGAAGTGCAAAGGGATGAATATGGGGTAGTCCAAAAAACAGACCGTCTGACCACTGCTTCCCCTTTGTTTTGGGAATGTTTGTAATCTGTCATTGAGCAACTTTATAGCCAGCCAATGTGAGGAAAACAAGGGAAAGCTGGCAGATATAAACAGATATATTCCATTAAAGATGGTGGTCTTACTTGAGGGTTTTCATCATTCTGTACTTGGAATGCTTCTTTAGAAGTGGCTTGAATATATAAACCTTCAGGGACAGTCTTGCAAAAGCTGAAAATCCAAATTTTCCGTTAGGAGGTCTTGGAAAACGTACAACATTTTTTCCTCTTCTTTTTTTTTTTTTTTTGTTCCTGTTGGAAACTTTATACAATTCTTTTGTTTTCCATTTAGCCTCTTTTCCCCAAGAAGAATTATGAATGCCTAACTAGCTGTGAATTCCTTAAGTACATCCTGTCTGTGAAGCAAGGGGACTGCCCGGCACCTGAGAAGGCCAGCGGTTTTGCAGCTGCCTGTGTTGAAAGCTGTGAAGCTGACAGTGAATGTTCTGGAGTGAAGAAATGCTGTTCCAATGGATGCGGTCATACGTGCCAAGTTCCAAAAAATCTGTACAAAGGTATAGATTATTAATACATACTCATACTGGGCTAACAACTTCAGGCCATAACAGAAGAAAACCAGGATTTTCTTTTCACAGGAGTTTGAGTGCATGGGAAGAAAAAGAGAGGCACATGTAAGAGGTGTGGCTGGACACTGAAAGGGTAGAAAGCCAGAGAAAAATGTTGCTTGGGTTTCTGAATTTTTTTCCCCCCCTTATGAAGCCCATGTCTGGAAATCTCTGGAGTGTAAACATGTGGCTATTGTGAATCATCTTAAGCAGAATAAATTTACCAATTTAGGTGAAATCTCACTTAATTTGATGCAGATGAGAGAGAATGCAGCAGGAAAATATTTAATGATAAATAGTTCCAGTCCTCTTAATCACAAATAACATTAATGCTTATAAGCCAAGCAGGTAGAACTACCAAATATGAAGTGTGAGATAATCTGGTAAAAGAACAAATCAATGCAATATGTTTGGCATTGGTGTTCTTAATGACCTGAGAACAAAAAAGTGAAAAATTATAGTATCCACATATATAGTAATTAATTATTTAAATCTAAGGCAATGTTATTAAAAAGTTTTTAATTTGTTTGAGTCCTGAGGTTCTACGAAAAAGGTTCTCCTTGACATCCATCAGCTAGAACATGTAGACTAAGAAATTATATGCTTGAACAGGCTACAGATTTTAACATGTTGGCATTAAAAAGCTTTATACATGGAAATGTTCTGAATATATGCTCCTAGTGCAGAACAATGAGCATTTATGACAGGGATTTTCTTGTTCCACAGTGTTGGAATGGTTTGTTAGGAATCTATTCTCCTTACTTCAGTGATTAAAAAAAAAAAAGATACTAATCAGTTATGCTTCTGATAGCATAGGCTCTCTCTGTGGAGAGCCTAATCAGCAGAACTCTGAACTAAGCTCCAGGCTTAGGATGGAATCCAGACTTATTTCCATTTGTGGATGGAAAAATGGTGAAATATGTGAAGGAGATGGTGATTTTATTTTTAAGTTCATTGCTTTAACTGAAATGTTGATGCATCTTTTTGAATGTCCCTAGTGATGAGAATGTAAGTCAGAAATAATGTGCTTTGACTTCAGAATCCTGTCATTGAGTGTACAGGATGGGCCATCAGGAAGCACTGTCTTGTTTACTTACATAAATGAAGAAAATTTGATCTAGAAGTCATAGAGGTTGAGTAACCATAGAAGTGATGAAGATACTGCTCAAAGTATTTTGAACAGCAGGCAATACTGTGATCCAGATTTCCAGTGCAGGAGGGAAAATCTCTTGCTCCCAAGAGACTTCAGATCAGCCCCTTTAAAACTCTAAGGAATTAATACACTCTTATACACAGCACCTTTTCAAATGAAAACTGTTAAAATGGATCAATTAGTTATTTCTTTCATCTTCTTGAGGCAGATGACCACAGTGATAAACTGGCATTCATACTGCATATGTAATGATTTACATGATCTGGCTCCACACCACAACTACAAAGCATTCCAGTAAATGTAACAGCTGGAAAAGGTAAAAACCAAAAAACAAACAAACAAATTAAATAAGATGACATGCTTTTGGAGAGGACACAGGATATGATACATTGTGTAACTGCACACTGGAAAATCTATTGCTGTTCAGCCTAATTATATGGGAACAGAACTAAGCTTCTCTAACATCTTATCACCTGTCTGCAGGAGGTGCTTGCTTCTAAGGGCATATATGTCTTGCAGAGGAAGGGCAAGCCCAATGCTGTACTGCCTTCTCAGCTGATGAATTCAGCTAATTAGCATCTTCAGTGTGTCTTTCTGCGACAAAGGACAAATAGAAGCAGAGCAGGCTCGCTATTCGTTTCCTCCAGGGGTAAATGACCTTCCTGTCACTAAGGAAGAGCAAACTCTGCAAGCATGACTAAGATCTAGTGCATAAGTTTAGTGCTTATTCTTACCGTTTTGACAGCACTCACAGCTAGAAAATGAACTCAGATTGAATCTGAGTCTACAGCAGTTCTTATAGTTTCACTGTTGATCAAGCTGTGGAGATTAGTTACAACACCAGGTATAAAATACCCATCTGACTTGCTAGATTTACAAACTGGATTTGCCTGCTAGTACTAGGTGCTAAAGCCCAATCCTAAAAGAATATTAATATAAGTACGTTTGCACCAAAGTTGTATATTGCAAATACATTAGCGACCTGATCTAGTTAAAGATGTCCCTGCTCACTGCAGGGGGGTTGGGCTAGATGACCTCTAAAGGTCCCTTCCAACCCAAACCGTTCTATGATTTTATGATTCTAAATGGTGTTGCATTAACACAAGTTCAGTTACTTGTTACTCTTAATTGTTGTTTGGCTTGCATTTTCTGTAATCTTCAAACTGTCCATTATCATTGCGATTTTTCATCTCTTAGGAGTATTAGTAATCAGTTGCATAGTCTTCACGTTTTTATTTTCCTTTACTAGAGATATCAGATGTTCTCTCCTGCTCTTCTGTCATCTGCCTCATCCACTTCCTTTACATTGTCTCAACTAGTGAAGGACTTCAGAAAGTGTCCCTTCTCCATGGCATACCTCAATTTTTTTTCTATATGGACGTAATTATGTTATAAATGAGAACAAGTGCCTAAAGTAGATTTGGTACTTCAGAGAGTACTATCTCTGCTTAGAAGTAAAACACTTTAAAAATGAAAAAAAAAGGAAAGAAGAGAAAGGGATGGCAAATGCTTGATCAGGTTCGCTTTGTCTAACCTGTGCATATGCATCCCCAAGTAAGGAGAAGGACATGTATCTTTTTCTGCACTCAATTGGTGACAGCTGAAAAAATTACCTGTCACATTTTTCCCTATCAGAAGTTAGTGGTCTCTCGGATGTGATGATGCACCTACTTGGGTGAACTTTCCAGGACCCCACAGATTAAGGGTTCATGCTGTCTAAACAAGCCTAGTTATTTTTGGCTGAAATGTGTAAGAGGCAATCCATACAGCAGAACAAACTGCAGATCTGGGCAAGGTAAATTGTGAAGAGAAGGTTATGACATTTAAAGGATGTGATGGTATGACAATATCATAATAGGATAAACGGAGCCAGTTGGTCATCCACAGTTTAAAGGCTCTTTTCATGCTTGAATAAAAATAGTTCTGTATTTGAAAAATAGTGTTCAGTTGTAAAGGTGCGCATCTCTGAGTCTTCAAACAACCATTTACAATCTTACTGATGCCTGTACTGTCTGAAATGCTTCTGTGGAAACTTTTTGAGTTCCATGGGAACTGACATTTAAGATACAGAATCTTATGATGGATCGGTGTGCCTTTATTTTTCATGGCTTGGAGATGCATGTGCCATCTGATAGACACCTTTAGAAATGTTTTTCCTGGGCTCTGGTATTGCACACATACAGCAATCAGTGATTTTAATTCTTCACTTGAGCGCTGCAGACTTCAGAGGACTAATTTGTTCCAGCACGATGAAAGGGCTGACCATTTACATAATAAAAAGCATATTGAGGGGTGGTTGGATCTACACATCTGGATATGAAATTGGTGGTGCTGGGTCTACAAAAGTATTTTAAAATGCACTTGTGCTGTGCTCTCGTTGTTTGTGCTGCTGCGCTCCATCTGCAGGCAATCACGTAACAGCGGAGAGGCTGAGACACTTGCAATCAAGTGAATCCAACTGCCCCTAATGCAAAGCAGATGGAAGTTTTCTTAACATGCAAATTGTAGGGTTATTGTACATCATAATTAAAGAAGGATTTTCAAATGTGGAAATCCGACCTGACATGTTCTGTGATGTTCGTTATATTAGACTAAGACTGCAGGCTGTTGAAGAATATCCGGGGTTTAAACTGCTGTGATAACCAGATTAAGTACTGGATTTTCCTCAGGTTGATTTTAGGTATCTTCAAGGGCTACAATATCAATATTTATTTACTTGTAACTAGTTGCAAAATCAAATTTAGGAGAAGACCTCTTGAAATATAAAAGCGGTTTATTCATCTAAGGAAATTTTGGTACTTTAGACATCTTTGGCAGACTGAGTAGGAAACAATTTATCAAACCAACACATACAGTTGGACTTACGTGAACACCCACTGAAATAACAAAAGAACTAAAGTGCGTATGATAACTTGCTAAGAAGGTTTATATGTCAGCACAGAAATCTTACTTGGGACATATCCCAAAGCGACAAAATGCTGCACACTAGTATATATGAGCTCCTAAAGTCTCTCTGGGAAAATGTATCTAACATTCAATTTTTTTAATTTAAGCAAAAGATGTCAGATTGGAAGAGTTGTTTTTTCCTTCAAGCTACTGCAGATGTTTTCAAAAAGGTGTTGTTATCAGCAGCAGAAACAACAGAAATGACTGTCCTTCAGTGTCACTGTGTAAGGACATCTTTGTCTCTGAAATGTAACAGTTGAACAATATACATTAGATATAGCAAGATGCCTTGGAATTACCTTTCCTACATCTTTAGGGAAGGGTGGAGAGTGGCACATTATACAGGGTAGCTGCGTGTGAGTCAGTGAAGTCATGCCACAGTGGAGAAGGCACACAGTTTACTTACGTAAAACAGACTGATGTTAAGATGTGTGAAGTAATCCCGCTTCACTCGTCTACGCTGGCATTACTGCTTGGCCTCAGTCTGTGTCCAGTTTTAGGCTTTACTTTGGAGAAGGGCTGTGGGCCAACAGGAGAGTTTCCAGACAGCTGCAAGGTCTAGAAACATTGATTTAAAATGCAAATGGAGTGCACTGCAGTTGTTAGCCTGAAGAAAAAAACATTCAGAGGCATGATAACAGTCCTGAGGTACGTAAAAGGCTTCTCCACAGATGGGAGAAAGAATCTGTTCTCCACGATCCATGAAGATCGAGGACAAGTACTGAGTTTAATATGCAGTTGAGGTGACTAAGCAAGGCAGTGGGAAAGCTGTTTAATGGTCAGGATAGAGAAGCAGTGGAACAGATTATTATGTGATCCTGTGGAAATTCTGTCATTAGATGTTTTAAAGGACAAACTGGGTGAAAACCTGGAAAACAGGTGTAGTTGGTTCTGCTTGGAATCAAAGGGATCTTTCTCCCTGTTATAAAAGCATATTTGGAAGGTGTTTTCTGTGAGATCAGTTTTATCTTACAGCTTTCATATCCTTTAGTTTTTAAATGAAATAAAGAAATAATTTTTATGATTTTTTAAAAATTAGGAGAGATACATCAGCTGTGAGCACCTGTGAAACTCCCATGCTTATCAGCCTATGCATTTGCCCCTTTTTTCTTCTGTCTGACCAACCATCTCCTATTTTTTAAATTATTTTTTTGTATGGCTTCATCTACATGTGATTTAATCTCATTTTTTAATTTAGTCATATATTTTTGTCTGCACGTTCCTTATACAGGTGTTCCACTGAAACCCCGGAAAGAGTTAAAATTCATAGAACTTCAGTCTGGAGACCTGGAAGTGAAGTGGTCTTCAAAATTCAACATCTCCATTGAGCCTGTGATCTATGTTGTTCAGAGGAGGTGGAATCAAGGAATCCATCCAAGCGAGGATGATGCTACTAACTGGCAAACTGTGGCACAGGTCAGTTTTTTGTAAAGTGATATGAATCCCTAGCTTCCAGACCATGATCTAAAGGTCCTCTTTAGGTTAGAGAAGAGTTAGATCACTTATAGGTGTGGAGACTCATGCAGAGGAAGCCCTCTCCAGGTCATGACAGAGCCACAGACAGAGTCCAGATCTCCAAGGCCTTACTTCACTGCTCAATGAACTGTTTTCCAGATTTACTCAGGAGAAATGAACTTCAGTATTTTCACTTTCATTTTTTCGGTTTTGGAGACATCAAATGCTTTTGATATGTATTGAATATGACTTCATAAAAAAAGTGTGAATATATCAGTAAGGAAATAAATAATGGTTTCCTTGGTGTCCCCGTCCCCCCCCCAAAAAAAATACTCAGAGGTTTATGTTTTCAAAATGCATTTAGTTTCTGGGTTCGTTCTCTATAGAATGTCTGTAGAACTAGCTGAAGGCTTGATTTTCATAAGGCCAGTGAGTGGCACTTTCTTGTAAGCACATACTTGTGGTCTATTCAGGTGGGAATTCCATAGTCTCTGAAAGGCACAAATCTTAAAAACTGTAGAATTAAATACAAAAATCCACAGAAGGAAGCATATGAGAGACATTGTCGTTCTGAGGTCAGTGGGACTCAGTGCACAGTCTACAAGGCATGGCTTGAGTCTTATCAAAATGATTAGAAATATAATTGCTGGAAAGTCTATTTAATTTTTTTTTAATAAAACAAAGAGTGAAAAAAGACTAAAACTTTTATTTTTTTGTAAAGTGTCTTTCTTCAGATGTTACCCTCCCAATTCAGAAGAGTCCATGATGTCATGCTCTTATCACTCAGTGCAATCCAGACTGAAAATGTAAGATTCATGACTAAATGTTTCTTAATAAGAAGCAGCCAACAGAGCATAAATTTTCACTTATTTCCTTCCCAGTTTCAATCTGTTTTTTAACATGCTAACAGTCCACCTGGATGGCAGAGTGCCAGTCGTTTATCTTAACTGCTTCACCCTTATCCCCCCTGACAAGACAAGTAAAATGCTGATTTTGAAAAGACCTGCAAAATGTCATTATAACGAGGAAAAGAAGGAAAGGGAGAATAAATAGAACCATCTACAAAATAAAGGAGTTTAAGTTCTATGACAATTTGTGTTCATTCTCAATTCAGATTGTGTAGGAGAAAGCTATCTTCAAATAATGTCAAGCTTGTGTAACTGAACACTCAGAAGTTAAGATCTTAAGGGTGGGTGTCAGGAGGATGGGGCCAAACTCTTTTCAGTGGTGCCCAGTGACAGGACAAGGGGCAACAGGCACAAACTGAAGCACAGGAAGTTCCGTCTGAACATGAGGAAGAACTTCTTCACTCTGAGGGTGACGGAGCACTGGCACAGGCTGCCCAGGGAGGAGGTGGAGTCTCCTTCTCTGGAGATATTCAAGACCCGCCTGGACAAGGTCCTGTGCAGCCTGCTGTAGGTGACCCTGCTTTGGCAGGGGGGTTGGACCAGATGATCCCCAGAGGTGCCTTCCAACCCCGAACATTCTGTGATTCTGTGGTTGATTAGCTTCAGTGTGGTGCTACAGGGGGCTCTCACTATGTTAGAGTCTCACTCAGAAAGTCACCTGCAGCAGAGCCTGGCACGAAACCCTGCATGTGCAAGTCCAAGGGAATGTGCACAGCTTCAAACCTGATAAAGTTGTTTATGGATTATCTCTCGGCTGAGGTGCAGGTCTTCAATCTGCATTCTCTATATTCAGTAAACAATCTCCTGCCTTTAATGAACAGGAAGAATACCACATAGCAAAAAAGCCAGATCTGAATTACTCCTCACTGTTACCGTGCCATGTGTATGTGCTAGACTGCAGAATCCCTGCTCTTCTGGCTGGTGGATCCAGACTGCAGAGGTAGCACACTGCTGTGCTTTTTCTCATCCCAGAAACAGACCTCACATGCATTTCTGGAAGCATGTGCTATATACTGTAGTGGACCATATACGAACCTCTGCCTTCTTGCAGTGGATGTGCAGGGAAGAGGGTTTCAGAAATGTGTTCCTGTGCAAGAGTGATAAGAATCCTGACAGCTGCCTTTCCTGGCGGTCTGTTACATGCAGGCAGAAGGGCCTGAGTTAATCACTGTGGCAGGAGAAGCCTACTCCAAATGACATCTTTCTGAGAACTTCGCTGTCCCTTCTGCATCACAGGAGACGCGCGTTTGATTGTGTGATGGACCCCAGTGGGGATGTCAGTTCAGAACAAGCTTCAGGATGACTGACTGGCTTTGTGAACTGTGTATACCTTATGGGACATGCAGGCTGGGCACTCTTGAGGGGTGCTAGTAATCAGAATTTCTGTCTCTACAGAGTAATGTACCTCCATGGTGTTCATAGTTTAAGACATCCCACCAGGCAGTCAGATTTGTTAAGGATGGCTGCATGCAACAGAATTTACTCTGCAATATCAGCAACGAGGATGGTTATCCATTTTGAGTAAGGTGACTGTGTACAGCCTCCGGCCTTTTCTTGTCCATATGACTGAGATTTGTTCTTTTATGATTCCAAAACACTGGGGTATGAGACCTCAATTAGCAGTAAAGGCTGAGTAGAGCTCAGCCATTTGGCTGGGAACTCCTGGGGCGTCTCAGTCCAGGGGAGGTGATGCTGGTTCTTTCATTACTCTGTGTGCGACTTGAGCAAGAGAGCACGTCAAAAGCAGACAAAGATCAAAAAGGCTGTGGGCCAGGATCTGAATTTCCCTATTCCTATGCCCATATGTAGTGTAATCATGCAAAGTTGTTGTTTGCATCTTCTTATACAAAATTTAACAATATTTTGTCAGAGTTCTTCACCCAGTGTTCTGGGGTTTATTGTCTGTGCAAGAAGAAATGGGGTTTTAATTTTAAATAACTTTATTTTAAAGGATTTACTTTTCAAAAAAATTGCTGTTTTCTATTGCTTTAATATGAGTTAATTTGTAAGTAATTTCTCATGAATTTTTACTTGGTATTGAAAAAATAATTCTGAAAAAGTTTGTTTTCTTTGTATTGTATTATGTCATCAGGTTGGGTTTTTTTATGTTTTCTTTTTAAGAAGGAAGGCTCAATCTATAAATACAGTATTTATCTCTCAAAGTATATAAAGAAAGCAAACTGAAAAGAATCTTAGTTATTTTCAACTTCAGGAAGAAGAAGTTTTCTTTAGTTTTTTACTGCACTTTTTTGGGAAAACTGGACATAACTAATAATTTGACTAGTTTGCATTGGTTAATATAAAAACTATGAGAACAAAGTTATTAGCCTAGTTAGCTATGGTGTACAGTGTCCTAAGTAGTTATGTTTTTTACACTACTGGTATGAACAGACTTACAATTCTGTTTGGTGCTAATGCTTTCTGAAAACAATAGTATTGCTATTTACATTGGATACTTAGATAGTTAATCATATTAAGTTAATTAATGAAGTTAATTCAAATACGCCAAGTCAGTTATCTTTAGAAAGAACGCATGTCTGTGTTGTGTGAACGTATGTCAGATGAGTGGGGGTGTGTGTATATATAAAAATATGTAAGTATACATATGGGCAGAGAATAATTATGTTTACATATTAGTTTATTCTTTTATTAAAACAAAGAAGGGGCAGTGTTTGCTGCTAGGTTGATTGTGACAAACCTTAGTGCTTCACCTTGAAATTGTCTAAACTCTGTGGACAACTACTCTTTTTTTGAAACTTAATGTTTCTGAGACACATAAGCTTCTGATTCTGAGGGTCACCAAAAATTTTTCGGCTCTCGACAGTGAGAAATCCCTGCTGGAGCTAGCTACCAGTCCCATACACTAAAGGTTTATTTCTCCATCTCCCAGGAGAGGCTTGCTTTGGTAATCGTTCTTAGAGAGTGCCTACCTTGTGTGGGATTGCATTCACACGAAGTAGGGGAGGTCTGCTGTCCTTCGATAGAGTAGCGGATACAGCCCTGTCAGGTTTCTTTATCTTTGGATGAGATGATTCACTTTACAGGTGACATAAAAGCTAGAAAAAGGAAAGATGATGAGGGAGAGAATGAAAGCATCAGGACTGTTACCCCTGCTTAAGCTAAAACGACAATACCGTGATCTAAAGGGAAGATGACTCTGAGTAGCTGCAATATGTGAGGGGCCCAAAGTCTGTAACACATACAGTCTGAGAGCAGTCCATAGTGCAGTTTAAAAAGGCTCTCTTTCCTTTTCATGTGCACACAAATGAAATACCTGTTGCCCTAAATTTTGCTTCACCAAATGAAGAGATTAAGTGCAGGATAACACCTAGGAATTTTATTTGTCAGGCTCGAAAAATACCATTGCTGGAGAGCTGAAGCACCTTCCTCAAGTTCTGGCTATCTGAGTTATGTCAGCAGCTGCTACTTTCTTACACAGTTTGGAAAGGGAGCAAAAAGCAGAAATTATGCTGTGCCTTTTTTGGGAACTACTTGGCATCATTGAAAGTATTGCTGAATCCCATACAGAGAAGTTGGGTTTTTGAATTTGTAGAAAACAGAACTTGTAAAAATAAATTGCTGTCACTACATTTTTTTAATGAGCTTGCACGTTTGGTCAGTAATCATAATCAGTAATGATTGTATAGTATATTTAGACATATACAGGACATTTGGTTCAGGTTCATGTGCTGTTTTGATTAAAGAATTAAATTAAAATGCAATAAACATGACATCCTAAGATAAATTGAAAACTGGATAATTGAGAGCTAATTGCAAAAGTAGAACCCACAGCAAGTGGATGAGTTTCTGATGAGTTCTAGAAAAATGCTACATCTTCTTTACTTGGCAGTGATTCAGTGGTGACCAGGAGGCTGTGTTCAGTTTTGGTCTTTGTACCATAAGAAAAATAAGAAACTGTGCAGAACATAGCTCTTTAAAAGTTTAAAGGAGGGGAGAAAAAAAGGTAGAGGAAAGGAGGGCTCGGAATTAGAGTGTGTAAAGCACCTCCTACTGAAAGAGTTCAGAGTGCACCTATGCTTATGCCGTACTTCAGCAATTAAGGCACTCCCCACAGAAGCTGGAAAATGAACTCATGACACTAGCAGTCTCAGTGGGTGTTGTTGGACGAGAGGTCATCTCCTATGACCTGAGAAAAGTCTGCAGGGAAGAGTTAAGCCTGTTGGTGTCTTTTTGACATTGGTGCCAAAGATCTGAAGAAGGCTTACATTCATTACTTGATGGTTTTGTTTCCTGTGAACCAGAAAAGGTGGCTTCTCACAGTGCTGGATTTCGTGAAGCCATTTTGGACCCCTGATTCTCTGAGAATTGAGAATCAGAGAAATCAGTCCTGTGACCCGGAGCAATGAGTTCCCTGAAATGTCAACAACTGAACAGCTGGGCCGTATACACTGGTGAAGGTTGTGATGACTGGAAAGCTGTTTTTGTGAATTTAACACTTCACTAGTTTCCTAAAGGTTGCTTTTTCCAGAAGAGACCTGCGATGCAGTGTAAACTTGGGTGGCTGCATGATTTTGTTCACAGCTGTAGACGCTTTGCAGTGCTGAGTGATGCTCTGAGTCAGGTGCGGTGGTTGCGTACAGGCAGCTGACACTGGTGTGTATGAAAGGAGTGTGTCCCCTGCCCTTCAGCCTGACTAACCGGTACTGTGTGGGAGATGGTAGCACAACTAGCCGTGTCAGAACAACGAGTGTAAACGCGACATTTTCCCCACCAGACTACAGACGAGCGGGTTCGGCTGCCAGACATTCGAGCAAGCAGGTGGTACCAGTTCCGCGTGGCGGCTGTGAACGTGCATGGGACGAGAGGCTTCACGGCACCCAGCAAGCACTTCCGATCCTCAAAAGGTTAGTTGTCATTCGCGACGTCTGGTGCTCACCTTCTGCTCGCTCACATGTGGAGCGCAACCTGATCTGCCGACTTTTGTGAAAGAAGGTTTTTAACAGGTGAGTTTATTGATAGTTTGGCCACAGGCTGTACAAATGATGTGAGATTTGTTTGAAGTTGGTGAAGGAATCAAAGGTTAAAGATGCCATTATTCTTTTATCAGTAAGGGGCCTCGAAGAATAAACCTCCTTTTAAACATTTTCTGCATGGTTGGTATCAAGCAACATGACCCTGACCACGAAACGTGAAGGAACTGTGGTTGCAATGTGTTATTCCAACAAGTTTCTCTTGTTTTTCCTTTTAGTTATGAGAAATACGTTGCTGCCGTATGTTTAACAGAGTATTGAAATATTTTGCTGCCTGTATCCAAATAATTGCATTTAAATAATTGTATCTAAAAATTTGTTTTGATGGAACTGTGGGCTCTCTTAATATAACTTTCCCCTTGCTAGCACTAATTGTAAGGACTTAAGAATAAAAAGGGTATAAATGTTAAGTAGCATGTTTCTGTTCATTAGAAAGGCATGCCCGAAAATCCACAAAGTATTGTAGGGATTTTTGTTGCCATTTCTGGTTTTGCAAGGGTTTGGGTAATAAAATAACTTTGAAAATTGTTTCTATACCCGTAAATGGTACTGGGGGGATGGGAGCTGGACACGGATCTCCCATCCTGTGAAGCTGCGGGCATTGTCCCTGATGCACCTTTGACCCATGTGAAGCAGAATTTTTCCAGTGACTCTCGGGCGTAGTATAGGAGTTAGCGGGGGCCAGAAGCTACTTCTGACAGACAGGTGGTCTGGACGCGCTCACCCTCTCTTAAAGGCAGTCGATAAGGTGGGCATAGCCAGACAGTGCTTGTTGACTTCAGCGCCAAGGAATGAGATCCAGTACTCTTCGCTTTACTGACAGAGGTAGAGTTTCTAATAGAAAGACTTGTCTTTGTTTCAGTAGTGACAGAATCTTTACACTTGTATAATGCATACTTCGAGGAACGCCATTTCCTCCTCTCTGCAGATAGAATTATCTTGCAGTACAGACAGTTGCCATCTGTGGGTTCCTGTGCTAACTTTCATCTTGCTGTTTGGCCATAGTCAGTCCTAGAAAAAAATCTTAATGCAGATGCAGTCATAAAGGCATCAAGTGCTTTTGCTGGTACGGATGGTTTAATTACTAAGTAAGTGTACATTAGACTTAATAATTTTTTGGTGCTGTAACCACATTTGTGGTAGGAAGTTTGGCTGGCATAGCTATCCCATTACTGCTGTGACCACAAACCTTTTCAAGTATAAAAGAAGTATTATTTTAAGAATTTATTGTGCTTAAGTAGCATACCATTTCAGTCATCACAAATAGAGTTCCTTCAAGCTGTGTTGAGCTTACTACAAGGACTCAGCAGCAGCAGTAGCTTTCTCTTTGCTTTTCTTTGTGAGCAACACTTCAGCAGATAACAGCACTTTGTTGCTGAATCTGGCACCAGCTTTCTTCTAAACTCAGGTCATTGTCAGTTGTATTACTGAGTTTGTAAAGATTTTCCAACTATTCTGCTTGGAACCACTATAAATGCGGTTACGTAAAGGTATATCATGATAACATTGAGGTTTTGGCTTAAGTGTGACATTTTCAGGGAATATTTGTATTACTTCCCAAAAAATATGTCCCCTACTGAGTGTGCTAGCCACAGCAGTATGTTGTTCAAAATATCTACATTGGTAATGAATTTAAGAATATCCGTGGGAAGTCATACTGAAGGTCTCTTCGGCCCAGTATCTGACCCCAGCCAAAAGTGGGTTTCTGGAGAACAGTGTAAGAGCAGGATAAGCACATAGGGAGACTTCTTCAGAACAGTCTCCCAGCTGGCAGTGATTTGTGTTTCAGGAGCTTGTGGTTTTGAAATGATTACATGCTAGATACCAGAGTCCTCTTTTTCTGTGGTCTCTGCAGCTACGTATGAAGCACTTGCTCTCCCTGAGTACTGCTCACAGCTGTCTGGTGGAAGTGGGGAGCACTTTTAGGACTTTGTGCCAAGGACAGTGGGAGTTAGTAGTACCTCTGCATGCTCTTACCTAATAAACCAAAAGAATCTTGCTAATGGCAGAAAGAATGTAGCCAGCGTTTTTCGAAAGGCTTCTATAACTCTCAGAAAAAACAATTTTCAAATCTAAACTCCAGCCCTTGGCAGAGAATCGTGAATTGCCAGACAAACAGCATGGAGTTCGCTTCTCTATCAGCTCTGTAGCCAAAATCGTCCTACTCTGGCAGCTTATTTGACTATTTTAGAGGCTTTGCTGTTGTCAGTGGTTGTTATAAAGATACCATGTTCGCCAGATGAAAGGTGTAGACGTGCTAGGTGGCTCACATGAAGACACTTCTAGGTGTAGGTTGGGAGTGATACTGGTATGCTTCAGTCGGTATCGCTTAGCCTCCCTGTCCCTGAGCAGGCGCTCACAGCGGTAATGGTTATACTGTCAGAGAGACGCTCCATTACTGCTTTGGAGCTCAGTGGGAAGTGGTGGCCCCTGCCTGGCAGAGAGGCAAAAAACTGCTGCTCAGATGTGCCTCACTTTTTTGAGTGCCAGTATCTACTGACCCCTGCTGAGCTCCTGCAGGCACATTTAACCTCCAGTTTGGAAAAGGAAAGCGGACTTTGGCACATCACTTTTGGCAGGTTGCTGACTGTCTGTGGTACGGTTGTGTGAAGTGTGGACAGAAATTCACATCAGTTCTTGTGCTGTTGTGCCAAGACCAAGAGAAGATTATTATCTTTGTCAGACTTAACAGAAGTTTTCTTCAAAAATAAACCCTTTGATCAGGGAACATGACAGCAGTTCCCGACATTTTCTCATGCAAGATGCTGAACTTTTACCAATTGCTCATAAGTTTTAATGAATAGCAAATTATTTTATTGAATAGCAAATTATTTTGGTTTGTTTTGTCTCTTAAGGAGGACAAACATGATATATAATCTGAATCTAGGGAGGAGTATGGCACCACAAAGTCTCTGTCACTAAATATTTTAACATTCAAAAGCATTAGTGCTGTAATTACTACTTGGAGAGAGACTTTTTGTCCGGTTACCACAATATGTTTTATACTGTTCTGTGTATTTTGCAAATGTGAAAAATATGATCTCTGAGTAGACATAGCAAATTAAGATTTTGTTTTATTTAAAATAATGTGAAGTCTTCTGAGGTATGTAATTTCCATTAACTTCTCTGTCACTAAACAGAGCTTCTTATTATCCACATAAGTTTACTTTCCATGAAAAAGTCAAAAACAGAAAAATATTTAAGCATTCCAGCTTACCATTCTTCATCTAGTTGTTTGAGGTTTTATCTGCTGCAGCTTTTGATGCTTTTATACTGCAAATGTTTGAGGTGAAGGTTTATTAGCTGTTTTACACTGCCCCGTGTGTTCATTTATGGCATTAATCTGTAAATAATAAAGTGACACAGCTGAGAGAATTTATGAAATATTGGGAGCTTAAGCAGAGAGAACTTTTTTATACTGTTTTATATCTGTTTTATAAGGGAAATGAAGGATTTGCATGTGCCTTTCTGGCGTGGCCCTTCACAGGGAATGAAGTGATGCTTCATTTTGCCCAAATGCAATTCCAAAATTACAGGAAACACAGGTTAGATGACATCTATTTGTTTGGAGCACAGTGGCTAGAAGGTCAAGTGAATACTGCACCTAGGAGAGTGGGTTCTTTCCTGGAAATAGAGCTCTGCACATGGATTTTCAGATTGGTACTGTCAGCTAAAATGGATCAAAACTTTCTGCTATTTTGACAGTGGTTTCCACTTCACTTTTCAGGGTTTTTAGATAGTGTGTGCTTTCCTTTTCATCTTCAGCTGAGTGGCAACAATTTGCAATAACAGCAATAAATAAAGCTAACAGATGCCTGGCAGAACATTTTTGATCCCCAAAGGAACAAATATATTCCTCTTCATATTTTGACTACCTCTCTCTAAGCTGCTTCATTTTCTCTGGAAACAGTAGAGGACTGTTCCTACAACCCATAAATGAGTCTTCTTGGATGAAAAGCTACCTGTGCTTTTCTCCCATTAAGTGGGCACTGAATAGCCTAACGCAACTGTTCAGAGGCTGCTCTGTAGTAGTAATACAACTTTTAATTTGTTGCATTTGGGTAACAGTTTTTAGGCTATTTTTTTCTAGCTATTTATGATTTATGATGAGAATGAACTCTTAGTAACAGAGACTGCAGTGAACTAGAGGGATCAGTGTTAGGAATTTGCATATAGTATATTATCTTGCTGGTCTGTAGTTAGATACTGTGCCATGTTCCAAGGCAAAAAGAGGCAATGAGATGAACACAATGAGCCCAAGCCGTCACCTCTGCTGAAAGTTTTTATCTTCAACATGAAGGCGGTTGCTAGCATACACGGGATAAATTGTCAAGCAAAAGGAAGCAGACAACATTGTTTTCACAGCACATAAGTACCACGCTGGATGTGATTTCATGCATAAATTACTGAGTGTTAGTAAAACCAGAACAGACACCCACTCCCAGCAATAAAATTCTTTCTGTTGCTCCTTCGGGACCAATGATTTTTTTATACTGTTGCACAGCTGGTTTATGTGTGCCATTTCCACTGGGCAAAGCCAGTCCCCCGCTTATGCCTTGAAATTGTTTAATGGTTGGAAACTTGCCTCCAGAGCAGCTTCAGCAGATTTTTAGAGTTGGAAGGTCTAATGTTTAAAAGATAGCAATGGGAGATCCATTTTAACTCAGAATAAAAAGCTCTATAAAAAGGGTTTAAATTGGAGTCAAACTTGCTATCACTTTTACAGCTCAGAATGAGAATTCCGGTTCCAAAGTAATTATTTTCTTCTCTGACACAGATTCCAAATCATTTACTATTTTCATTACAGTTGCCACATTTAGAGCTAAAGTGCATGCATTGCAGCAGCGTATGATGTGATTCTTGTGTATAGCTTTCTCATACTGTTTTGTTAAGGTTGCAAAGCGCTTCCAGATTCTGTTGATTGAAAGGATTTTGTAAAATATAAATTGTCAATCACTGTGTTTAAAAATATGAGTTTGGGAAGATGTACATTTTGAAATGGTGATGAACTAAGTGTTTTGTTGGTTTTTTTTTTTTTTAAGCAAGTGATCCTCCCTTTTCGGGACTGGAGACTGAATTTTGCTTGTGGTGGCTAAGTAGCCAGCAAGACAAGAATTTAAGTCCTTTGGGTGTACTCAAGCCAGATACAATCCAGACAAATGCAGTACTTAGTCCCTGTGCTGGAACAGCAGCTTCAGCCTTGACCTAATGAAGCTATCGTTTCTAGCAGTGAGAAGTGATTTACTTGTCAGGCTGCTGAGACCAGAATTTTTTGGATTTGGGGACAGCTGTCTGTGCCGAATTCTAGTATAAATATAATGGCTGTTATTTTATTTGAGTTGTAGTATAAACCGCAAAGGAAAACTACAACTGGCATCACTTTTTCTGCAAACCAAAGAATTTGATTTAACACTCAGCTAGATTCGTGCATATAATATTTCAGAACTTTACATTTGGAAAGCTGGCAGTAGTTTCCATTCCAGTAATTTAATGTTCATTTATCTGAATTATACATGTCGGCAGTCAGTCAAAGGGGTCACAGATATATGAAGACTATCAGTGGAATGGCTGTTAGCTTTATAGTCATCAGAATGCTAGTTTAGCTTCATAGTCAGGTTAACAAACACCTTATGTATGTAAGCTTTATAATCCAGTACCAGTTATTAGACCTTGAAGTGTTTCAGCACAAGTTTTATACTGCTTTTAATGTCTGCATAGGCATAAGCGTAACAGAGCACCTTGTAGAAGCATGACTTTTCCATGCAGTAATGGAATAGTGAAGGGTTAAAAAAAGCAGAAACAAACAACTAATCTGTTATCTGCTAAATGGCAGGTGTGCATTATGGAGGAGCATGCTTTTAGCATTTTAGAGGGGGTTTGGTTTTTTTGAGGGGGGGCTTTGGAGAGGCTGGGGGGGTTGTTTGTTTGTTTGGGGGTTTTTCCTGTTAATAATAGAGATCGCAATATCTTGCCTTGTTGCTATTCCTTCTCACCTGTTTTGCTGATGAAACTCAATCCTTTCAAATGAAAGAAAATATTAATATTCCTGGTTTCTTGGCTTACAAAATGATAGTTCTGTCAGTTGTAATAGTGATGAGTGTCACAGAAATATATAGAAATAGATTAATGAGTTACATAGCGATATTGAAATACTTAATATGGAATGGATCATCAGCTGGTATAAAATGCTCACTAAGTGGCTTCATATTTCAGGTAACACACCCTAAATCTGAGAAATGTTTTACTGTTGTGTGTCTACAATGAGACAGGTTTTTTTCAGATTTTTAAATGCAAAACTGTAATAAATTAAGTTTTGTTCATGTCTGACATCTTATGTCCTTCTAGGTTATCATTGTCTCCAACTTAGTCTACTAGTTTTAAAAAAGCTCTCCTAGAAAATGTGGCCCTTTCAAACATCTCGCCTCTTCATGTCTGTCAACCACAGATCTCCTTCCTTTCTGTCTTCTACTACTACCACCACCACTCTTCCTCCTGTTCAAAGGCGTTTCTGTGGATGACATTTGCGAGGCTTGCAAAAGGGACACTTTGAAGAAAGGTGGCACTCAGGAAGATGTTTCTGCTATTGCTGTATTATTTCACATGTGTATTCCTTTTAAGAGCATGTTCTTTTGTTCCTTAAGTGTAATTAGCCAATGGTTTTTAATACAGTGTTTGCATTCTACCATAGCAAAGGAGAAACACTACTAGGTTTTCTTTTAAATACGGAGCAGCATTTTGTCTGTTGACTGGACTGTTGCTAATGAACACAGAAGAAATGCTACTGATAAAGTAAAGTTTTCAATACAATTATTATAAGTTATAAAAAGTACAAGGTGAAATGCCGGTGCTGTCAAAGTCAGAATAAACGATCTATTGGTTTCACTGTGCACATAGTTCTTCCTTACTGTTTTCTTTCTCTGCTTATGCTACTGGGAAAAACTGGGATGTTGGAAGTTACCTTAAAAAAAATAATTCCTGTGATTCTGAGACATATAAAAGCTGCTTTCTGGTCAATCGCTTGCTTTTTACGAGGAAAATTGCACACTGTCTTACATTCCTATGAGGGCAGAAACATATGAAAAGGAAGAACATAAATTCGGTCATTTGCTTTTAGACCTGCAAAAAATTGGTGACTAGAACTTTACAATACTTTTAAGCATGTAATGCACTTTGTCCAGAAGAGCTATTTCATTCAAATTTTAGATTTTTTTTTTTTTAATGACTCTCAGAGTCTTTTATAGATGCAGAATAAAGACAAACATGTTTTATGGTTAGAATTGGTTTTGCTTGTATCTGACCATTTGTGAAGATGTATTCTGTGAAACACTTCAATTCTATCCCATATGTTATGTATACATAATACATGATGCGTAGTACTTCTGGGAGATAACCTGAATAATTCACCTACAGTAATATGATCATGTTGCACTTCAGGTTATAAATGTTTTATTGCTGTAATACATTGTCATATAACGTAAAAAATGCCTAACATTTTAAATCAGATATGATGAATACTTAGTAAAGATTTTTGATTTATGAATCATGATTCTGTTTATGGTACCTAGATTTCCTTTTGTGCCTACTTATTTTATTAAATGATAGAAGTAAATGAAAAGTTTTGTTAGAGAACAGTACAAACCATGTCACTAAATTAACCTCTTAAATTTATCCTCTCCAATTTAAATAGCTTTGTATACTTCAAGATGGAGCTGTTGGCTACTTCACAGGGAGGGAAGTAAGTGTAAGAACAGTGCTTCTCCAGAGCTGGAAAAAAATAAAGGGAACTGGCTTGCAAGACGGTTAAAAAAATAAGTGAGAAGAAATAAGGAATTCTCATTACTATGAAAATTAAGTTAAATTTCCAGAATTCTTACACTCACATATGCTTTGTAACTTTTACGGCCAAAACTTAGATTGAATTATATGTGTGAGGAAACAGGGGCATCCATTGTTGTTTAACCAAGAGTCCTGTTAAAGAACCGGGATAAGCCATTATTTCACATCTGCTGATCTTTAATAAGGAAATGCTGTCTTTATTAATTCTGAATGTGTCAGTTTGCATGACCTGAATGATGGAATTTTTCAGTGAGGCCGTTTGTCATAGGGATTATCTGATGAATTTAGTATGCCTGGAAAGTTCATTTAACAGCTCATTTACCATTATAAAAAGATGCAGGTGAACCACGTAGTAAATGAATGCCTGGTGTCCCCTCTGCACACCTCCAGTTTTATTTCTGTCAAATTAGTGGTGTCTCATTTTGTTGAAGAGTTATGTGAAAATGGTATTTTTTGATCAGATTGTCTTTTCCTGGCTCGTAACATGCCTGAAGTCCTATGAATTTCCTTTATTCTGCATGATATACTTCTAAGTTGTTGTTTTTTTTTGTCACACTGTTTACTTTTATTTTAAACCTGTTTTTGCAGTTTCCTTATATTTTGTCACCAATGTTTGGCTACCACGCACATTTAAAAAAAAGTAGGAGTTAAAAAGTAGGATTAAAATGTAGGAGTTATTAAATAGCAAATTGGACTTTCAGAAGCTCAGTTGCAAAATTTCCATTGATTCACATTACTCAGATCCAGGACATTATATAGTAGGTCCACAAGAAGGTCCTAACATTCAATGTTGGAAAAGGTTCAATATTGGAACCTGTGACTGCCAGGTATCCTTCATGACTCTAGGATCAGCACAGAGACAACTGAAGAAATAATATCTCAGTTGATATTGACCAGAAATTAAACCAGAATAAGAAAATAAATCACAGGGGGAGCTCATTGCTTTTTGTTGTTCTGAAAAAACCCTATAGACTTCTATGGCAGCATCATATTTCACTACATCTTAATTATGTTTGTTCCAAGGAAGCGTTTTTGTCCTATGGTGGTGGATAACAATACAAGAATTCTGAAGAAAGATTCAACATGTAGAAACATAATTTTATCATCTGAGAATTGTCTGGCAGCACTGCAAAAATATTCAGTGTTTTCACCATACAATTTTTTTACAACTGTACAACGCCATTAGTAGAACACGAGTGTTTTACACTCACTATGTGTTTAAAGTAGTGAATGACAGAAGTAAAACTGATAGTCTAGTACATTTTGCTTCATAATGTTTGTGAACTACCAATAACACAGAATAATGTGCTAACACATAATTTTTATTTCACTAGAGCTTGAATTTCAAGAGTTTACAAGAAGCTGTACCACTTACGGAAAATTTTTGCCTGAATTTTCTTCAGTGTGTTGAGAGTGTTTAATCCAGCTCATATATGCCTGGCAAATACGTAAGATGATCTTTACCGTACTGAAGATGATCTTTACTTTAGAATCTTTTTATTTGTTTTAAATTCCAGATCCATCTGCTCCACCAGCTCCATCTAATATCAGAATTGCCAATATCAGTGCAAACAACGACAGGAGTGTAAATGTAATGATTACTTGGGATCTTCCAGAAGAGCCTGATATCCCAGTGCACCACTACAAAATCTTCTGGAGCTGGACATATAGTAAATATGTAATCCCAGCTAAAAAAAAGAGAAGGAAGATTACCGATGGGGTAAGAAATAAAATAGTAAATGGGACAGAAATATGGCTTATTTCTGTCACAAGACAGAGTGCAAGTATAAAATACGTGATAAATTGCAACGATTTCAGTAGGCTGGCAAAGTAATGGTCTTAATTTGTAGTGTCACCAACTCAGGGAAAGAAGTAGACTTCTGCCTCAAAATGCAGGTAAACACTACAATTTTGCAGAAGAGAAGAATAGAAAGTTAAATGCTGTTTGTCCTCTAAATTCAGGCTTATTTTATTAGTATTTCTTAAAGATGCAGTGCTTGTTTTATTTGAAAAGCCTAACATCACCTGTCACATTGTTCTTTCAATGTGCAAATAAAACTTGTGACACTGTCATACAGAGTAACCATTAAATAGTCTATATAGGTCCAAGGAAAAAGAAAAATGCAAAACTCTTTAAATAAGCTGCTGTACCAAACATCTGACATATTTCCATAACAGCAAGTTCCTATGAGTTTCTTAAGTGATGTGTCAAATATTGCTTTACTGGAAAACTATCTGTTGTAATATCCTTAAGCATATTGCATAGTATTTTGAAGTAATTAATAGAAATAGAGATCAATTACAGATAACAGGCTGAACTTAATTCTCAATGCTTTTAATAAAGGCATTGTGAGAATTCGGTCCCATGTCTGTGTTAATGCTGTGTTTTGACTCTGGCTGCCCACTTGCACTGTGATGAATGACAGCCAGAGGGTTATAGTTCCCTCTCTGTCCCTCAGTTACCAAACCCTGAGAGAAATAAAGGCAGTGAAGGCTGTGTGCTGAGTTCATCTACAGAAAACTGGACACAGCAGAGATGCCACAGTGGGAACATGCTGGACCCATCCCTTCTCATGGTAACTGACGGGTGGTCAGGCGCCGGAGGCTGCAGAGCCACCACCACCAGCTCTGTGCTGGGCAGGCAGGACAAGGAAACTTCCCTGCGAATGTAGACGATATGGAGTAATTTCAGGGACTGAAACAACTTGGTTCTTTTTTTCTGCTTTTGTTAAATCCTTTAAAAAAAAAAAAGTAAATATGCGTGGAAAAGAAAGTTAGTTCTTCCTGGTACTTTTAAAAAATCACTTTGGCAAGATAGGAGTAGGGTTGGACTGAGCTAGGTAGAAAAGTTTGTGCAGAGGCTACAGCCGAAACATACAGGGGAGCTTTCTCTCCACAAGCTGGTCCTTAAATCACAAAACGCAGAGAATTTTAAAAGTGATCTGTGTCCCTAATGTTGTGTTGGCACTTTGCATAGGGTACATCCTACATATAATTATATTAAAACATATCCAGTATACAACGTTACAGTATTTGGACTAAGTTCTGACCTTGAATATGGGGAAATCCAAAAGAGCCAAGGCATATTATAGAGAAAAGGCAAGCTTTTAGAATATCTTTTCTATTACTCCTGGCTTGTTGTACTTTTTCTTCTGCAGCATGTCATGAAACTGTATAGCAATGCTAATGAGATTCAGACTTCCCCCACAGTACACTCCTGAGGCTATTGCTAATCAGTGGTCTTTTGAATATTATAGCAAATCTTCCATCTACAAATTGAAACTTCAGAAACCTTTAAAAAAAATGTGGAAAAATCTTATGTTTTAAAGATCATTGAAGATTTTTTTTACCCGGTTTTTACCTTTAGGTGTAGTCTGGTCCAAATAATTTTATAATGATTTCCATATGAAAACGTTCCAGGTAGATATTCAAATAATTTTTCTACGCTATTTAGAAATAAACACTGTTGATCGAAAGTTATCGTCACTGTTCTAAATATCTGTCCTGTTTCATCTTAGCATGAAACAAGTATAGGTAATTGATATGAAATGCTTTTAACAATCCCTGAAGTTTTAAATATGGCAGTACTTGATTATTTTTTTCTCTCTGGATTGACTGTCAAACTTCACAGGCACAAAGAATTCCAATGAAAACATGGAGTAATGTCTTCTATCTGAGGTGTGGGCTAGAAGGGCATTTTTTTATAAATACTTAAAAAAAATCAAGAAAAGTAAAAATACTGAGAACCCTTGTGTCTTCTTTGCAATCTCATAGGACTTGCCTTAATTCATGGATTATTGACTGGAGAATGATAGTCCTACTCTGGTGTTTCCCCATTTAAGACACTTCTGTGACAATGGAAACTGTATTTCTGCTTTTCTTTTTTTTATTCTATGGAGGAAAAGAGTCCTTACTGATGAGGGGGTATTTCTGGTTTTTGTTTTCAACAGTTAAAAAAAAAGAAGATACTGACAAATCTACTGGATGTTGGATTTTAGCTGTCTTCAGACTGGCTGTCTCTAGAAAAAGTTTTCAATTGCTTTGCTAATACAGAATTGAGAAATATAAAGTTTAAATTTCTGTGCCTAGAAAAATTCTTTTCTGAGAAAAGATCTTGTTATGTATAAAAAAAACCCTTCAGTTTTGGCCTGAACAATAGGTGTCTGTATTTACCAAGGTATTGCCAAAATTACGAAAACATCAAGAAGTATTTTTAAAATGACACAGAACAGCAGCGGCCAATAAAATATATTTTTAAAGAAAGGAAATTTTGCTCTGTTGAAATTTATACATGAGTTTTTGAATTTCAGAAGAGTTTTGTGCCTAAGATATCAAGCCTGATTTTAATAAGGGCCTGTGTTTCAGTAATACTATAATGGTTTTGTATATTTATTTTCCTCTATTATAGGCCCAAAATTATGTGGTCCTGGAGGGACTCCAACCCAACAGCAACTACAATGTAGAACTGCAGGCAGTAACACGTTGGGGTCAGATACGTCTAAAAAGTGCTAAGGTTTCTCTCCATTTTAGCACGACTCAGGACACCAGGAATAATAGTGAGTAATTGTATTCAAACATCGGAATGTTTTGTCTCTTCTTGATCTGGAATTTGAATGTTTTATATAATGATTTCTCATTATTATGGTAGGGTTGAATATTTATGGGTGAGAATCAGGGTGAAGGCCAAGGCAGATATCATGGTGGGAGTCCACCCAGCCAGGATGAAGAAGCAGATGAAATAATAGTCTATAAGCAGCTGGGAGAAGTTTAGTGCTTATTCTCACGGGGGACTTCAACCTACCAGATGTGTTCTGGAAATGCAATACAGTGGATAGGAAACAGTCCAAGAGGTTCCTGGAGTGTGTGGAAGATAAATTCCTGACACAGCTGGTGAGGGACCCAACTAGGGAAGGCACCCCACTGGACCTGTTGTTTTTGAACAGGGAAGGACTCATGGGTGGTGTGATGGCTGGAGGCCGTCTTGGGCAGAGCAATCACAAAATGGTAGAGTTTTCTATTCTCAGACAAGTAAGGAGGGGGGTTAGCAGAACTGCCGCCTTGGCTTTCCAGAGGGCTGACTTTGGCCTGTTTAGGGGCCTGGTTGACAAAGTCCCTTGGGAGGCAGTCCTGAAGGGCAAAGGAGTCCGGGAAGGCTGGACACTCTTCAAGGAGGAAGTCTTAAAGGCGCAGCAGCAGGCCATCCCCATGCGCCAAAAGATGAGCCAGCGGAGAAGAAGGCCGGCCTGGCTGAACAGGGAGCTTTGGCTGGAACTCGGGGAAAAAAAAGAGTTTATGAACTTTGGGAGAAGGGGCAGGCAACTCAGGAGCACTGCAAGGATGTTATAAGGTTATGCAGGGAGAAAATTAGAAGGGCCAAAGCCCAGCTAGAACTTTATCTGGCTATTGCCATAAAAGGCAACAAAAAATGTTTCTGTAAATGTATTAGCAACAAAATGAGGTTTAAGGAGAATCTCAATCCTTTACTGGATGCAGAGGGAAACATAGTGACAAAGGATCAGGAAAAGGATGAGGTACTTAATGTCTTCTTTGACTGAGTCTTTAATAGCAAGACCAGTTATTCTCAGGCTCTCCAGCCCATTGAGCTGGAAGACAGGGAGCAGAATGAAGCCTCTGTAATCCAAGGGGGAATGTTCAGTGACCTGCTACACCACTTAGACCTACACAAGTCTATGGAGCTAGATAGGATCCACCCAAGGGTACTGAGGGAGCTGGCAAAAGTGGTCACCAAGCCACTTTCAATCATTTATCAACAGGCCTGGCTACCTGGGGAGGTCACAGTTAACTGGAGGTTAGAAAATGTGATGCCCATCTACAAGAAGGCCAAAAGGAGGTTATGGGGAGCTACAGGCCTGTCAGTTTGACCTCGGTGCCAGGGAACATTATGGAGCAGATCATCTGGAGTGCCATGACACGGCACATACAGGACAACCAGGGGATCAGGCCCAGTCAGCATGGGTTTATGAAAGACAGGTCCTGCTTGACTAACCTGATCTCCTTCTATGACAAGATGGCCCACTGAGTAGATGAGGGAAGGGCTGTGCATGTTATTTACCTGGACTTCAGTAAAGCCTGTGACACTGTTTCCCACAGCGTCCTCCTCGAGAAAGTGGCTGCTCATGACTTGCATGTGTGTACTGTTCACTGGGTAAAAAACTGGCTGGATGGCTGGGCCCTAAGAGTGGTGGTGAATGGAGTTAAATCCAGCTGGTGGTCAGTCACAGGGCTCAGTACTGGGGACAGTTCTGTTATCTTTATCAATGATCTGGATGAGGGGATCGCGTGCTCCCTCAGTAAGTTTGCAGATGACACCAAGCTGGGCAGGACTGTCGATCTGCTTGAAGGTAGGAAGGCTCTGCAGAGGGATCTGGACAGGCTGGATTGATGGGCTGAGGCCAATTGTATGAGTTTCAGCAAGGCTAAGTGCTGGGTCCTGCATCTAGGTCACAACAACCCCATGCAAAGCTACAGGCTTGGGGAAGAGTGGCTGGAAAGGTGCCAGGTGGAAAAGGGCCTGGGGGTGTTGGTCGACAACTGACTGAACATGAGCCAGCAGTGTGCCCAGGTGGCCAAGAAGGCCAGCGGCATCCTGGCTGGTATCAGGAATAGTGCGGCCAGCAGGAGTAGGGAGGTGATCGTGCCCCTGTACTTAGCACTGGTGAGGCTGCACCTGGAGTACTGTGTTCAGTTTTGGGCCCCTCACTGCAAGAAGGACATTGAGTTGCTGGAGCGTCTTATGGAGAGCAGCTGAGGGAGCTGGGGCTGTTTAGTTTGGAGAAGAGGAGGCTGAGGGGAGATCTTGTCGCTCTCTACAAATGCCTGAAAGGAGGTTGTAGCGAGATGGGTGTCCTTCTCTTCTCCCAAATAACAAGCGATAGGATGAGAGGAAATGTCCTCAAGTTGCATCAGGGGAGGTTTAGATTGGATGTTAGGAATAACCTCTTCACCGAAAGAGTTGTTAAGCATTGGAACAAGCTGCCCAAAGAAGTGATTGAGTCACCATCCCGGGAGGTATTTGAAAGACATGTAGGTGTGGTGCTTAGGGACATAGCATAGTGGTGGATTTGGCAGTGTTAGATTAACAGTTGAACTAGGTGCTCTTAAAGGTCTTTTCCAACCTAAAAGGATTCTACGATTCTATGATTCCATGATCTTTAGACATGAAGTGATTTCTTGTTAGGGTGTTCTTTACAACCTCACATGCTAAGTGATATAATTGAAAAGCGTATCTGAATCTGAGAGTAAACCATGATTCTTAGTCTTTGTTAAATGCTATTTGTATGATTACAATACAATACTGAGTTACTGCCCCAACTGCTGATGTGTTTCTGGTTAACCAACACAGCAAGCTATTAAAGAATATAATTTTAAATATCCTATCCTGACTTCACTTCATTTTCCATCCATTTACATTCTCTTTTTAAAGTACACTCAAAGTTTAAACTTTACTTGTTGCCATTTCATAATATAACTGTAATTGCTTTCACCCTAACTAATCACTTGCTATTGTTGCTGGACCCTTCTGCAAACATATTCAGTTTACATATACACAGAATATTTTAAAGTAGCTGTTAGCTATGACAGACCTTCATATCTACAGTTGCTTCCCATATTAATGTACCAAGAAGAAAAAATAAACCTAAAGATCCTTCTTTTTCCCATTTCAAGCTCACTTTTACTACTTTTTGGGGCCATCTTAAGAGACAGCAGAGGGACATGTTTTCATCTGTTCAATACAGTGAGTCTTACATTAAAATCCATCCAGCTCCAGGATATGAGCTTGAATCTCAGCAGTGTGTACGTAAGGCAAGTTTGGGTTAAATCCGCAGTGAAACCATCACAGAAAAGTGGTGGAACAACTCGCATGACTGGCATGCTGTCATAGATGGCTACAGACTCTTTAGGAAAGACAGACCAACAAGGAGAGGTGGGGGAGTTGCTCTATATGTGAGGGAGCAACTGGAATGCATTGAGCTTGGCCTGGGGGCAAGTGAAGAAGGAGTTGAAAGCTTGTGGGTTAGAATTAAGGGACAGGCTCACACGGGTGACATTACGGTGGGTGTATACTACAGGCCACCTGACCAGGAGGAGGAGGTTGATGAGGCCTTCTACAGGCAGCTGCAAGCAGCCTCACAGTCACAGGCCCTGGTTCTCATGGGGGACTTCAACCACCCTGACATCAGCTGGGAAGACCATACAGCTAGGCAGGCGCAATCCAGGAGGTTCCTACAGAGCATCGATGATAACTTTCTGATGCAAGTGGTGGAGCAACCAACAAGGAAAGGCGCGCTGCTGGACCTCGTGTTAACAAACAAGGAGGGACTGGTGGAGGACGTGAAGGTTGGAGGTAGACTCGGCTGCAGTGACCATGAAATGGTCGAGTTCAGGATCCTGCATGGAGGAAGCAGGGCGATAAGCAGGATCAAAACCCTGGACCTCAGGAGGGCTGACTTTGCCCTCTTCAAGGAGCTACTGGGAGGAATCCCGTGGGCCAGGGCTCTCGAAGGCAGGGGGGTCCATGAGTGCTGGTCGCTCTTTAAACAACACTTCTTCCATGCACAGGAGCAATGCATCCCCCTGAGAAAGAAATTTAGCAAAGGAGGCAGGAGACCTGCATGGTTAAACAAGGAGCTTCTAGCGGAGATCAGGCAGAAGAGAAAGGTCCATGGAATGTGGAAAGAGGGACAGGCCACTTGGGAAGAGTACAGAAACGTAGTGAGAGCATGCAGGGATGCGACGAGGAAGGCCAAGGCTCACCTGGAATTGAAGCTGGCAAGGGATGTCAAAAACAACAAGAAGGGCTTCTTCAACTACATCAGCAGCAAAAGGAAGGCTAGGGACAACGTGGGGCCGCTGCTGAATGAGGCGGGTGTCCTGGTGACGGAGGATGCGGAGAAGGCAGAGCTAATGAATGCCTTCTTTGCTTCAGTCTTCAGTGCTAAGACTGGCCCTCAGGAATCCCAGGCCCCGGAGGGAAGAGAAGAAGCCTACAAAGAGGACGACTTAGTTTTCATGAGACCTCGCAGGAGGCTGCTGCAGTGGGGATCTCCTGCACTCCAGCCCCAGAGACCTCACAGCACTTAGGCTGTAATGATTGGAGGAACGCAAGCAAAACCCCTTTGTGCACTAGCGGGTGGAGAGAGGACACTGTAGATGCTATGCTGAGAATGCGTGAAAATTTTCGAATGAAAGCCAGGGAGAGACAAGGAGCTATATCCATGCCCTGACCTCCGTCCCATTGCACATCTGAACCTGAACTCTCAGCTAATAACCCCTGAGCCACTAAGCTGCCTTCCCTGAGCATGCCTGCCTTCGCTGGGGAATTCTAGGAATGCGGACTTCAGCACGGTGTGGGGTTGTTGCTGCTCACCCTCTGTCCAACCAAATGTTTACAAGCTGCAGTGGGGTTGGTATTGCTACGATAAAGCCCCATTGTGGGTGTTTGCAACATTCTTTAACTAAAGATTTATTTTCCCGGGTAAGGTTCCATTTGAACAGCAGGAGCCAACATCAGAGAGCTGGAGAGAGGACTTGCTCCTTCCCTGGCACAGCGCACCTTCACCCCTGTCCCTTCACCATCCCCTCTCACAATCCCTTCGTTTTTAAAGCATTCAAGCATTAGTGACTGGCATATCGAAGAGGCTGTAGTTAGCGGTGTATTGCCTCAAATTACAGGGGCAATTGATTGAAGGAGTTAAGAGGAGAAAGTCTGTGGGAGGATGGAGCTGGTATCACTGACACAAACCTCTCTCTCTTGATCTCCTCTCCATGCTAAAGCAACCCTGTCTTTAGCCTCCACCTACTTGAATTTTTCCTGTTGGAGGATGTGGGAGGTCTGCTGTTGACCCGTATCCGAGGAAGATAGGAACTAAGCTGGTCTTATGGGCCCCACTGCCTGCTTGGCCTTGTCCACAGCTCTGTGTCCTCTGTGTCTTTGCTGTGTGTGTGTCTCACACAGCAATGCTGCCCAAGTCTGTGGGTTTGTTTCTAGCAGGTGTGGTAACAAGGAGTGAAGGAATGCACTCCTCAGTCCCTGTCTGCGGGGGACAGTGAAAGGTCATCCTATTTCCTTTGAAAACCTGCTGACAAAGGAAGACAGTGCAATTAGTGTCCTCAGTATGGCAGAACAACCATGTGACCAGCATCTCTGAAAGATCCCAACAGTGCATCTTGGAGTCTCATCAAACTCTGTTCGCACGCAGTTCCTACAGGTGCAGTCATAAGTGCCACATTTCATAACTAGGCAGTGGTTCACAGAATCACAGAATCACAGAATAGTAGGGGTTGGAAGGGACCTCTGTGGGTCATCTAGTCCAGCCCCCCCGCCGAAGCAGGGTCACCTACAGCAGGCTGCACAGGACCTTGTCCAGGCGGGTCTTGAATATCTCCAGAGAAGGAGACTCCACAACCTCCCTGGGCGGGGTTGGACTAGATGACCCACAGAGGTCCCTTCCAACCCCTAGTATTCTGTGATATTCTGTGATTTTCTGTGAAACACAGTGTAAGTGAGTACAGAAGTTCCACCCTTTCCGTACTGGCTCTCCTAGATTGTACCTGTGCTTTCTGTCATCTCCTAGAAAAGTGACCTAGTTTGCAGGACTGTGCATGATATCAAAAGCTTCTTTGAACTGTCACATGCAGTTTCCCTTTCTTTTCTGTGTGTACACAGGAGATGTGAGAGAAGAAAAACTGTGGTGGGAAATGGGTATTTAATGCCAGTACACTCAGCCACTGAGCTCTACTAGAAGCGTATCAATGTTGTTTATGAGAGATGATCTCATTTTGCTGAGTGTTTTCCTGAGAATTTTTTGGTGGTTTTGCTTCTGGTTGTTTTTTGTTTTTTTGTTTTTTTGGTTTTTTTTTGCAACACTCATTTTGCTAGATAAACAAGAAAAACTTTCCTTTTTATTTTAATGCCCCCCCATCTTCTTCTCATCTCTTCTGATTAGACATTTCTCTGAAGTTCTGGATTTCAATACTAAACTTCAAGGTGTTTAGTTTTCAGTCTAGTCATCTTGACTGGCATTTCACCAGATTACGTCACAGCTCTGAGAAAGAACATGTAATGGAGTTTACTTTACATAGGAATCATGTCACAGGAGAAGGCTGGTGCCTGGATTTCACCCAAGTCTGAGATTGGGTGTGTCCTGGTAACTGGGGCGGAATTCTAGGTGCCATTATACACACCTAGCCATAGTGACATGGGGCAAGCTGTTGAATATCTTTCTCTCATTTTGCTGTGAGAATAAACTTTCCCCTCTTGGGAGCAGGGATAGTTAATCAATTGATGTTTGTCAGACTTTATTGCTAGTCCTGATATTGGGTCAGATCATCATAGTCTCTAAAAATAAGAGTAGATAAAGCCTTTCTATATAGAATTCCTCTAAACTGAATGTGAGTAATTGAGCTTGGACTGTGTCGATTTTGGTACCATTCTATATTTATTTACTGTGAGAAACCATTTTGCTGGTAGTGCTGTATCAGCTCTCCATGGTCTCGTAGTAGTCTGTCTCTCATCACCTATATCACCAACGGGTTTGTTTTGGGAGAGGATGATTTTTGTTTCACATTTCCCACTGCAAAACATTGTGTTTTTCAGAACTGAATGCAGATCACATCTGAATTATTACTTACAATTCTTCTACCAAGTAGAGTTCATTTACCCTATACCTCATGTGTGACTTTGGTGGTTTCATCATTTTCTGTCCACGCCAGTGGCACATCTTTTCTGCCATCCTTAACAGCTAGATTTAAATTCCTTCCATGATTTTTCTTGGATAATGTGCCCTCTCCTTGATCATTTTACTTCAGAAAACAGTCCATCAGCAGTTTCTGTGAAGGTCTGCTATCTACTAATGTCTAAGTAGTATAGACTTTCTCACGCCTTGTGCTTTATTTCACTTTGTGATGGTAACCTTTTTGGAATAAAATTTTCATTAATAGTTGTATTATTTTTTAAACCAGAGTAATAGTATACTAAGAGAAATATTTTTGTTTTCTCATATACTTCAAGTATTTGACTATTCTGTGGAATTTATGAACATCTGTTTTGTTAATGACAGTATTTTCTTTTTATCTGCAATCAGTGCCTGCAAGAACTAAAAGATGTGTTTGTTTTGACAATAATAAGTTTATAGACAAATTTGAGTATCCTTTCTGTTAAAGCCATAAAGTAAAGGATTCAAGATTCTTTGAGCCTAAACCTCTGAGATCACAAATTTTAGCATACTTGGGCCTTTTTGGACATTTTTTAAAAATGCCTAAATTATAGCTTTCACAAAAATCAAATAAAAATTACTCCTGGAGGAGATGCAAATTCATCTTCTTAATCTCCTTGAAGTTAGTTACGTACAGAGCCAGTCCTGCTTGAGGTATTTCGAGAATACTCAGAAGCAGATGGAGAAATGTGACAAAGAAAAAAAATATTGCCTGAAATATTATCTAGGACATGAAATTCACACCCCCTCTTTATGTGGGGATTTCCATGGCCTTTGGCAAGTAGTTCCAGAAGCAATGTGCCAGTTTTGCTGAATTCTCACTGTCAGTTGCTCAGCTCTCTGTGGAATTAAGCTTTTTTTTTTAGTGTCTGTTCCTATTGTCAGAATAGACAATAGTCCATAACCCGCTGGAGTAATTTAGTCCTACAGACCTCTGTGAGCTTTGACCCTCACCCTCTGGCGTTGTGTTTCCCCACAGTCAGAAATATGTTGCCTCACTATATTTGTATGCTTCACTTCTGGGAAATGCGGCAAGACTCTCTCTCTTGATCCTTAGATAGAAATATTGTAAATTAGTGTCCTGGTTTTTCTGGAAGTGGAGCAGACACGGAACAGCACAGTAGAGATAAAATTAGAATACTTTGAGGTATACCTGGTAGATTTAAGTTTGTACTTCTCTCTATCACTTTCTTTTAGATAGCATAAACATTACTTTGTTTTAGATAGCATAAACATTATGGTTACATTGAAAAATAATTTGTTTAAGTTTGGTAGTTTTATTTTAATTTAAAACAAATAAAGAAAAATGTAAAATTGTTAATCAAGTTAAGCAAAGGCTTGAGAAAGTAAAATTTGGCGAAAAAGCAAGTGGATTTCAGCCAAAGCTACATGTGGGGCACAGTGTTCAAGTTTACGTGGTACTCGTGGTAATATTGCAAGCTGTGTCTTTCCTGCTTTCTCTCAAATATGTAGTTAATGATTTGCCACTTCCTAATTATTAGAATTCTAACTTTTCATTTAGGTGCATTATTGCACTGAATACAGTTTTTGTTAATCTGGTGCAATTACTGTCCTCTTAATAGGAACTGATATATTTGCAAGTGTGCAATGAAAATGCAGTTTGAATCAGCACTGCTGCCTTTTCAGCTGAAAATATCTAGACATACTGTCAGCCCTGGTAAATGTTGATGAACTGTTGCCAAACGGAGTGCTTGATGAAGGACATCCCGTTCCCATTGCTTTTTGTAAGCTAGGCACATAACGCCAAGGGAGTTGCTCAGAGTTAATTCTGCTCTTACAGTGTTTTCCTAAGCATTCACTGTTCACTGTTGGAAACAGGAAAGTGAGCAAGAAAGATCTTTAATCTGACCGGAGTATTCTTACATAGCATAACAAAGGACTATATTTACTTTGATGTAATAACCACATGTGGCACTCAATGCCATCCTTGGGTCTTGTGTATATTCAAACATTGCACAAATATAAAGACCATGACTGATTATACAGAAGTACGGCTAGATACTACGCCTGTTTAAAAAGTCAGTGTGTTAACATTTCTTCTTCTTGGGGGTGTAAATACACTCGCTTTCTTTATAATTCTTTTGAAAATATGGAGAGCATTTGCATGTTAAAGTATATTTCTCTTTTTCTCTCTCTGTCCAAAATATTTTTTTTTGACTGAATTTCAAACAAATTGTATGCTTTTCAACCATTATGGACAGTTTGTTCTTTATATTTACTTTATTTAGTTAAGATACTGAAATAAGATAATATGGATTAAAGATAGTATTATTTTCTGAATTTCAGCACTGTTAACATATTCATTACATAGCACTGTATTTGAATAATTCCTGATTGTTCTTTGAATTGCAGAGGAACAGACATCTTCTGCTGGGAGACCCCAGAAAGGACTGGTAGATCCTTACCCGACATTTCAAAGAAGAAAACCCACTCGCTTTCTTAAAGTTGGAACTCCTTTCTATGAGGACAATCAACTTCAGGTCAAAGTCTACTGGAAGAACAAAGGTTTGTCAAATTTTTATTTAATTTTTTTTTCTAAGAACGAACTCTTATCCAGTTCCTCAGCGTTGTAGGAGATTGATGTAATATAATGAACCTCATACAATCATTCAAATTTAAATCCTACACCCATCCTTCCTTCCCTTCACCTTCACGTTAGAGTGAAGCATTGCCTCTCCTCTTTGTGTTATGTCTGTGTAAATGTCTCGCCGAAGGCAATGACCTGAATCAGCTGTCCGGAAATTACGGTCAGTTATGTTGGGACACTGCATCTTCCCAGAGCTGAGATAATTTTTATTTCAGTATAAATTGCTTTTGTAAAGTTTTAAATAGGGAAGGAGAATTTGGTCTTCTGTTCCACAGAGCTTTTGTGGCTATGAATGTTGTTTCCCTGGAGCGTGGTCGGAGGGTCTCAAGCACATACAGTTCCCAGGCAGATTTTCTGCTGATGCCACTGCAGTGTCACTTGTCGGATTCTGTCAGCTGAGAAATGAATCAGGAAATGAGTGTATATGGAAATCATGGGAGTGGTGTCACAAAAAATAAACTGTAGTTTGAACCACAAAATTTAGAGCTATACTGGCTCTGTTAGGGCCACAGTAAGCTTTATGCCAAACTTTATCAGTCACCTTGAATTAGAACAGGAGGAGTAGTTGGCCACAACCACTGGAAAAATCTTGGTTTTCTGGTTTTTGTGGTTGGTTTTCTGCTAGGCTGCATGTACTCCTCTGCTTTTCAGAAAAATCTAGTAACAATTTTATGCTTAAGTCTTCCAGTCTAAAGGAAAATGCCATGAATTTTAAGTGTCTAATCACATTCAGAAATCAAAAAAGGGATTTTCATTTCTTACCTTCTAGATGTGTATAGGTTGTTACACATGTCTTCAGTTTAGCTGTAACAGGTTTATATGCTGTTATTTGAAAATGTGCTAACACTGTTAGTGTTTTAGCTTGGAGTATACACTATATGTGTAGCTGCAGCACATGTATAAAATCCATTCAATTTTTGTGTTTGAAATAAAGGGCTACAAAATGGATAATCACCTTTTCTAGTCGAATTTTTCAGAGAATTTTAGAAATATTTAAGTTCTTTTGGATTTAGGTGTATGTTGCACCATCCTGAACGAGGAAAGTCTATTTCATTTATCATCAATCATTCAGTTATGCTAAGTAACGTAAGAACATGTCACACTGGATGGTGTGGGTTGTGAAAAGAATCATTTGCTTCTTATAAAATTCCTGCCTGTTTGAATAGTTACTTTCTAGCCCTGCTATATCAAATACTTTCAAATCAAATGCTTATTCCTCCAGAAAATCTGCAAACTTTGTCTCAGCCTGACTACATGCATGTTTTAAATGTTTGTCCCTGTCTTGGATATGCTAGTTTTATTTTTTTGAGCTTTCCCCATTATATTTCACTTTTGCCTAGCTTCGTGGAAAGCTGGAATAATTTAAATTTTAAATAAAAGTTGAGGCATTTTTAATTGTGAATACTGAGTTTACCTAAAAATATGGTTTTCTTTATCCAAAGTGAGATGTATATATTCTGAGCTTGGGCCTGATCACCTTAAGCTTTATCCTTCTGCAAGTGAGATATCACCTCATTGTCCAAGCTCCTTTTGTAGTCAAAAAAGAAAAGCAGGTGACTTCTGAAGCAATTTATCCCACACAGCAGCTGAGTCGTTCTCTGGAGATACCTCCCTTATGAGTACAAAAGGGAGCCTAGACAACTCATGTGTAGAAGGCTTAGAGATGCCTAACATCTCTGTGTGAGCTGAGGTTCAATTCTGTGCAGTCTGAATGGAAGAAATTGAGGGACAAGATTCAAAGGTGAGGAGACTATGATGTCTCCCACAGGCGTAAGACCGAGTTGTGCAACTCGCAGTCTACAAGCAAGATTCAGCCCAGCGGAGCAATCAATCCAGCTGCAGCCCTTTTCCTGCCAGCCTGTTTCCAGAAGAACGGTTGTGTGTCCTATGACCAAAATGCCAGCACCCCGAGTGAAATTCTCCTTAAAGTGGTTTTCCAAATTCACTGTTATAGTTAATGTAGGAAAAAAAATCATGACGAGTGCAGCAATAGTCATCTTGTTCTCAAGTAGATATCTTGAACTAGGTGTTCACTAACTGTAAGGGTAACTTGGATATGGAGCTTAAATGTTACACCGTAGTTACTTCAGTATTGACATCTAAATCTGGAGCTGAATCCCACACTGTGTTACATACCTGGATATAATATTTGTAGTAAAAGTTATAAATGCCTGTAAAAAGAAATAAGGTAGTCAGCATTCTCATAATTGCTGAGAGAAAAGTTAATTAAGATTAAATGAAGTCAAGGAATATTTTATAGCTTGGAAAGAACAGTGTTTGGAACTGATGTAATCTCCACAACTGAAGATCTTCAAGGACAGACATGGCATAGATCTGTTAGAAATTACATAGATTTACATACTGTCACCTCGTGCCAGGGATGGACCAGCTGAGCTCCTGAGTTGCTGGCTGTGCAGCTGACTCACCTGATGTGACTCTGTACATCCAGTTATGTAGGGCGGGCACCCAGAGCTCCATGTTGGTCATGTGCTGGGAGCAAGCTCTGCCACCTGCACTGGAGTATTTAGGTATGTGCCCCAGCCACGCAGTGAGAGTTGCCTTCCTTTTTCTTCCATAACCAACAGTGATGGCAAAAGTGTGTGAGAAAGGGCAGAATTTGTCACGCTTTCCCTTCCCTTCCCTTCCCTTCCCTTCC